TCTTCTCTGCAGTGATTCTGACCTTCTTTATGTCTAAGTATTGCTGTCCTTCCAGGCCTGATCCTCAGCTCTTCTTTATTCATATTCTTAATGCATTGACCTCAACTTACTTGTTGGCTTTAAATATCATCTTGGCACTTGCAAATCCCAAATATGCATCACCAGCCAGGACATTTCTCTGCCCTATAGGCTCGTGTATTCAGAGTCCTATTCCAATCTCCATTTGGCACATAATAGGACTCTCAAACTGAATTCTGGGCTCTCCTTTCAAAATTATCCATCAAGTTTTCTTAGTATTAGTGATGACAACTCCATCCTTCCTATGCACTCCAAATTTGGAATCACCCAAAACATCTATTTTTTTGTTTTTGTTTTTTTGAGACAGAGTTTCTCTGTGTAGCTTTGCGCCTTTCCTGGAACTCACTTGGTAGTTGAGGCTGGCCTCAAACTCACAGAGATCCGTCTGGCTCTGCCTCCCAAGTGCTGGGATTAAAGGCATGTGTCACCACTGTCCCAGCACATCTTTTTTTTTTTTCAATATCAATCTATATCAAATCCTTGGGTCCAAAACATGACTTTTTAAAAAATGTTGCTATTGTCCATCCAGCCTAAGCCATAATCACCTTGAACCTAGATTATTCTAACAGTTTAGCCATAATAACAGATTATTGTTGTAATGGATCATTGTAATAGATTTCCTTTCTTCTGCTCTGGTTCCCTATGGGATTATACTTGACATTGTACTTATAGTGTATCTTTGAAAATTTTAGTCCACATCTTTCTGGATAAAACCCTCTGTGTCTTTCCATTTCCTTTGGAGTCAAGGTCACGTCTTTATGGTGACCTACAATGCAAATGGAGTTTCCCCTCTCACCTCACTTCTGTGGTCTTAACTAACACTACTACTCTGCTTATAACTTTGCTGTATATAACCTTGCCTTGGTATGTCTCTCCCAGAGCCTGTAAGCAAGTTTTCACCACAGAGCCTTCCCCTTCTGCTAGTCACTGACTTGAGCATTCAACCCCAGAGACCCCAGTCCCGTGCTACCTTGATTTTTCAGTGTTTTCTGAAATGCAACTTTATTAGTCTTTTTTCTGAGTACTTTATTCAAAAAGCAACCTCCCCTCAAAGCCTGCCCAAGGTCCTTACTCTACTTTATTTCTCTTCATATCACGTCACATCATTTCCAAGTACTTGGTGCATTTTCTGCCATTCATATTTACTCTATCTCTCTTCACCCAAACTGTGAACTTTATGAAGCCTATAATGTGTTGTGCTTAGGGCAGATTCTCCACTCAGCAGGACATATCTTAGCGCCTAGTGAGGACTCATAAGTAACTGTTGAGTGAATGGATGGAAATGATTGAGGAGAAATGGCGAGGAGCCAGTGAACCAGAGATTTGTTTCAGCACAGAAGAGGCAGACAGGGATGATTTGTTGGATACAGAGAAGAAAACAAGAGGTGAGGATAACAGAGCCTAAGTTTCTCACACAGACCACTAACATGGTGGTCAACAGGAGGGATGGACTAGAGACAGGGGCAGAGGAGGATAAATTGAATTTTGAAGTTGGAACTAGGTTCCTTGGAGATATTTAACTGAAGATATCTCCAAGGAAGCTGGAACTATTAATTTCACTCATGGAAAGCATTTCTCTCTCTCTCTCTCTCTCTCTCTCTCTCTCTCTCTCTCTCTCTCTCTCTCTCTCTCACACACACACACACACACACACACACACACACAC